CTGTCGGTAGCCAATCCCTCGCTCTACGACTCTCACATTCACTCCGATGGTAAAATTGGTATTGGCATATGCCAGGGATTTGCTGCCATTCGAGCTACTTCTCGAGTGCCTCCGCCTCTCGCTAATAGCAAATACGGAGAGGTTTTTTCCCCTTCTGTCTCATGTCGCATGCAAGCCGCTCGCTGAGCCTTGCTCTGCCCGAGCATATGACAAAGGATGATGCTTATGACATGCTTACAATCATTAAACGAAATGAAATGCTTACAATTGTCCACTTCCATTGGCTCAACTGCCGTAGTGTTTGCACTCTGTTTACCGCACTCGAGCAGTGCTGTCGGCGTGCATTCTCCTTCACAGTGCCCGAAGTCAGATGTTACTGCAACAATAAGCTCCGTATAGGAAAGTAAGCTGAGCTCAAGCACATTTCTAGAACGGTACATACCAGTTTCATCAAGTGAAGACGTCTCGATGTATGTGACACTAAAATTCGGCGTGGGCGCACGATCTGTGACAATGTTGAAATCCTATACAGATACAAAAATACAGACACAAAAGTACAGATACAGATACAAAAAAAAGACACAAACACAAAAAAAAAGAAAATACAGGTCACAGACAGTGCACAACACGATGTTTAGGGGCTCCCGTCACATGCCCCGTGATCACAGTTCCACCTCAAAATATTCGAACACAACAAAAACATTTCAAGCTTTTAAGCTTGCATCACGTTCTTTCACAATTTTCAAAGTCCTGGCACCCCCGTGGCAAAAATGCAGATAAATAGTGTGGACTGGCGCAAATTCTGACACAAAATCTGGCAAAATCTGGACTGGCGCAAAATCTCCCGCCGAAGACTGCTGGTTGGCGCAAATTCCACAGTACCGCCGATGTCCTCAAAGTATCAAACCGGAAGAACTATGTGCCCACCTCATCAGGATATGAGAAGTGGTTGCTCTCCGGCATAATAAAACACTCTCTGTAGATGACTGGCATGCAGGATGTCGCTGCAGCCACGCGACAAGTAAAATCCGATGAGCGAGGACATGTTGCTCGTCGGTGGACAGTGCATATTTGTGAGTGGCACCCACGGAAAAATAAACGATCACTTCAGCGATCTTCAAACAATGACGCATATATACAGAACAGGCAGTTGGTATTAACTGGAAGAATGCAGCCCAGGTTCGAGGGACCTGGTACAGATGCGCTTGGCGTGTGGGAGCATTCTAGTAACATCATTAACAAGGGAAACCACCATGAAGTTCGAGCAGTCTTGGAATTCTTGGTGTTTTTGTGACCATTACCATACTCTCAGCAAGATGGGACTGAAGCACTGTTAGTATGCTTTGCATGTGAAATACTGCTTCCCCGTAATTCTTCCTATCCAACAGAAGTGCTGCCAGCTGACATGCACTGTTTTTGCAATGTTAACTGACACGCAGTGAGAACTGAACGCCCTCAATTTATCAAACTAATCAGGTAACCTTTTCCGGCTCTGTTGGTGCCTCCTCTTCCTGTTCCTGCACTTCGGGCTCAGATAATTCGGCATTCGACAGTTCGTCTGAGCTTTCTGAGCCGTAATATCCCGTATCCATGCCTCGCCAGCCGTAGAGTTGCTCGATGAAAAATATTTTCTAAAATGCGACATTCTGAACAGCGAAAAAGCATAGGACATAGGAAATAAGAGACCCACGAAACATCTAAAATACATCCATTCTGGATATAAATACAGAATGGATGTAAATACATCCACCAAAATATGCCCGCAAAGCATAGCATCCAGGCGTAGCAGAACGATGGTTTTAGAGATGACACATGCACGACACACCACGTGGAGAAATGTACCAGAAATTTCAGCTTCCTAGCTTCACAGTTAGCCAAATTGAGTGACCTCCGAACCTCTCGTCACCTTTTCGTCAATGTGACCTTGACACCAAAACCTCTCGTCAATGTGTTTTTGCATTCGCAGAAATGTGTAATAACGCAAGAGATACTCGAAGCAATAATTCCAATTCTTTCTCTAAATC